CGCCCCCGCCCCGCTGCCCCTTTGCGCGGCGCCGAGGTCGGCTCGTCTCCTTGGCGCTTCGGTGTCTGCCTCTACCTGTGTGCCGTAGTCCCTCCGCGATCTCGGCCCCGGCCTGGCTGTAGGCCCCACCACGAGTTTGCTGCCCGGCCCTGAACTTGGGGAGGGTCGCCGGGCGGGGAGGCGTGGCTTCCGCTCCTGGGGGCTTCTGGGCGCGCTTAGCTCTTTGTTGGAGGAGCTCCCGGGGCTGGACGCTGGCGTCGGGACCCTGGGCTGCCTTCAGCTCCTCTGCCCGCGGCGTCCAGGCGCCGGTCACCATCGCTGGGTGGCTGCGTCGGTGCCACCGAGGGCCTTCTTCGCCTCTGCCCTGCGGAGAGCCGAAACTAAATGACACGTTACCCGTTGATTCCCAAGAAGGGTTCATTGAAACACTTCTTTACCCTTTGCGGGCCTGGCGTGCATGCTTTGCTGCCCAGTTCTGTGACGATTGCTCGGTACAATTTTCTGCCCTTTCAGTTACAAAAATGTCTTGGCAGGTGTTAGTACACCCCTGCTTCCAAGTAAAGCACGTTTTGAAGTGATTTCAGTTCTTCGTTGGCAATTTATTCCACATTTGCTCCACGAAAGAAGGAACTGAATTCAGAGCTGCATTTAAACACATTCCTGGAGTTTCGTCTTTCGCTAGAAATGTTAGCTGGAAACAGTGAATGTGAAAATAACTTTACCCACAGCAAGTAATAGTTACTCAGCTTCAGTTGGATGGAAACTTGAAGGAAACAAAGCAAACGTTTTTGCCCTTTTTTGGGTGTATTTGACATGTCGATGACTTAGAAGTTAAACATTTAACACGTTTTAATTCTGATTAATTCGGCAAACTTAAAATATGCAGATTTGTACACATATTCTGTTAGTTTGAAGTGTTTTTCACCTTTCGTAAGAAGCAAATGAGAAGCATTTTTAAGCTACTGTTTGAATTTTTACGTAATTCTGGTAACTCTCCAGGTTTGAGTTTCCAAATACAAGAATGGGACGGATTCAGTTGCAACACGTTTAAAATTACTTTTTTCTTCCTCTAGTTTTCTTATAGTTAATACTCTTGATTTTGTGCCTAGCTGTTTTGAAATACTCAAAATGTAATTTGGAAATGTGAATAAAGATAATACATTTTTCCTTTGAGAACGTTTTATTTCAAAGCCAAACTCTATTAAGGACGTTGGAAACGGGACTACTATAATTAAAAAGTCTTGGTTGGGTTTTTGTGTAGCAGCATGAATGTCGTCAAGTGTTTTAGATAGATGTATAAATCAGTTTATAAAAATTTGTTTTTGAAAACAGTTAAAGCATTAAACGAGTGATATTTTTTTGGGGGGGGAGAAAACAGTCTACAGGGATCAGCCCATGGAGTGGTGGTTAAGGTGGCTAGATATCATTATGGACCACTCACTGTGTGGTTGGAGTCCTAGATCCAACGCCTTGAAAAACACTCGGGCGTCTATGTGTGTGTGTGTTTGCCTGTGTGCCCCAAATCCCAAGTGGAAAATGGAGAAGAAGGGATTGTAGCATGGACAACTCCTCTGGGGGTGCATTCTCTTTCTTTCTCTCTCTGGCAAGTACACACGCCATATAGCAAAATTAAAATAAATGAGTAAATAATAAAGAAAATAATATCTTAATATCTCTAGTAAATTGGGTGAAGCAGTGGAAATAAGCACCAATAAAAGCTTGGGGAAGATCAGGATAGTTAACTCTTAGGTAGTACATAACTTATATGAACTTGAGAAAGTACTACATACATACCTTCTTTACCTGAAGCTATAGTTCACTGATTAATGAGCTTTTAAGTTCCCTAGGCAGGAACTAATATATACAGATTGAATTATACATTCTAATTTTTGTTTATCTTACTGCTGTGATGTTTGTTATTGCTTTTATTTAACAGCTGAACTTAGGAAATCTCACAAAGTCTTATTTTTCCTGATTTTAAATGTTTTTTGATGTAATTTTTGATATTAGTACTGTGAAAACCTGTACGTTATAAAATTCTTTTAGTAGGATAGGCGTTTCCTAGAGAAAAGTTTACTGTCCAGTGTTTCATCATGCAGAAAAATGACAATTCATCTAACTGAAAAGCATTTGGCCAAAGCCCAGAGAATACCTCTGCAGTCAGTCTTGAATTTTAAACATAGATTAGGTTGAGTTATGGGCAATCTTTTTTTTGGAAGTTTATAACGTGCAAAGAAAGACTGTAAAGATTTATATTTAGCTTTTCTCGATTAAGTATCTGTGAGTGCTTTAGTTATATAGTAAACTCGATTTTAAGAGGAAAGTAATCAAAAACATTGTGGTTCTACAAGTGCTCTTAACTTACAGATGAATAGATCATTGTGAATGAGCATAACAATGCAAATGCAAGAAGTAACAGTACTTTGGATATGAGAAATAAAACAGGCTTAAGACTTGCGCCTTCTGCCACTTTTTTTTTTTTGAAAATAATTATTTTTTTACTTATTTATTTTAATTTGGCAAGAGAGGGACAGAGAGAGAGAAAGAGAAAGTGAGAAAGCAAGCCGCTAGGTCCAGGACTGATCCACCACGGTCGGCCATGTGGGAGTCCAGCGCCCTTAACCATGGTGCCACCTGCTGGCCCCACACTTTTTTATAGATTGAAAAGCTTCCAGAGTTTGAGATTCACTGAGCGGCACTGTTGAATAAGACTTCATTGTGGAGATTCGTTTTGATATGATTACTTTATTCATGTGAAGTAAGCAGTGTTAAATTTAGCAGGCATGACCTTCAAGATCATAATAATAGTTAAGTTTCTGTTGATACATCTATTTGCTTTTAAAAAGTAGCTTGACCTCCAGATACTACAGCTTCACTTCCGCAAACCCAGTTGAGGAATTGAGTTAGGATGGAATGTTAATTTATTTTTGAGATTTAAAGTTTTTCTTTTATTCTGCTTACTGAGTAAACAGGCAAATGAAAGATTATTATAATGGCTGTTGGCTGGTGATAAAGTAAAGATGTAAGTTTCTCAACTTTTAGTAAATAGACTTGCTGGATGGTACAATTCTAAGGTAAAATAGTAACTCCTAGGATTTCCAAGGGAGATTTTCCTTTATTGCATAGAAAATTGTAACACTGTTATACTAGCATGATATAAATTACAAGAATGATTAATATTATGATGAATTATTGGATGGGGAATGGGATGAGGTTGCTTTGTTACCTTAGCTCCCACAGAAGTTTAGAAGAAAGCATATTAACTGTGCTTGTGAAAATAAAGGGTGTATATTCAAAGAGGTAAGTGCCAGAGCCTTGAGGCTTGTATAGCACTAGTGTCTTGTGTCTTCTCTATTTACGTTACTGTAGACAAGTGGGGACTTTTTTTTTTTTTCCCTTTTCAGTTTTTGCTGTTAGGGCACATGTGCTTGCAGGAGATAGAAAGTGGGAAATCACACACACACACACACCCCAGGGGGATGGCCACCCTGCAGTCCCTTCTCCGGTTTCCTT